CCAAAAAATTAAAATAAGAATAAAATAAACAAACATCATGGCCAAGAGGAATCCCTCTTGGCTGCTGATATGTTCTCAATGGACAAGAGGAATCCCTCTCGGCCAGCAAGAACTGTACACTCTCTGTGACCAAGAGCAATTCCTCTTGGCCACTGAGAGATTCCTGAATGCTGATCTTGAAGAGGAAGTTTATCTCTCCATTCCTCAAGGAGTCAGTCTAGACAAGAAAAGTCAATGCTTCAGACTCAAAAAGGCAATTTATGGCCTGAAACAGGCTCCCTTGGCCTGGTATAATTGACTGTTGTCTTGGCTTCTATCAATTGGATTCTCTCAACGGTGGGCCGCTGAAATAACCGTAGCGGTTAGTGTAGCGTAACACAGCGGAATCGCTGTTAGCAATTAGCGTAGCGTAGCGGAATTCCGCCACGACACCGCTAACGCTACGCGTGTGGGCCACAAAAAAGGGCCCACTACGCTGCGCTACAGCGGTGTGGTAGCTGAATGTGTAAAAATTCAAATTTTTCTATTACTTCTTCTTTTATTCTTTTCTTTATCATTTTTTCCTTATATTTCTACTCATCTACCACTCATTACAACTCAAGAACTGCATCTTACAGATCAGTTCACCCATGGTCACCACTGGAGGCATCTCTGTAACTCTACTGGTATGGATGTTACACACCTCTGAACATGTACAACACTCAATTACACTCAATCAACTACACAGGACAACTACACAACACAAATTACACAAACACTTCACTACAGGACACAGGTAAACAGATGACATCATAATCTTCTTACAGGTGCACAGCTTACACAGCTTGTCAGGTCATGTGTACAGCTCATGTGCGCAGCTTGACAGGTCATGTGATAATCTTCCTGCAGCTGTCAGGATAGCTCATGCAGTCTGTATGACATCATGCAGATTGCTAGGCTAGCACAAACCCCTCATGTACACTGCCTCTTCTAGCTAAAATAACTCAAATTACATCATGAAGGCTGTACAACTAGCCAAAATACCTCATTGTAAAGCTCTGACCAGCTAAAATCTCTCATTCTCTTGCTCCCTTGGAGCCAAAGTCCCTCATTATTGTCTATTTAAGGAGGCTCTCCTCCCAGTTGTTTTTCCCCTCAGTTTAGTACCCACAAATCACATACCCCCTACCATTACATACCATACCATTAACATTACATACTGTAACAACCCTTACAAACACCCTATAACAACCCTTACACTTGTAATACACACTAAACTCACTCTCATACTCTCAAAACCTCTTCTCTCATACAATTATACTGCGATCAAACAAATTATTCTTGAGACAACCACCCCTATCACTTGATTAAAACTTGCCAAGCTGAGCTTGGTAGGTCTTGTTATCTGATAGTATAGAAGGGCAGAGTTTGCAACTCCACCATACCCTTCTCCATTCAGCAAAAGGGTTCTCACAACCACTTTTGAGTCTTACAAGGGAGTCCCCAACGTGATAGGGATTCTTTGTTTGATTGACATCAATTAACCAATTTCTGCAAGAACAAGAAGCCATCGTCAAAGGATCACTACTTCTAGCGGCGAACGGATCAAATTTATCAACCTCATTTTGTATCACTCAACGGCATATTCAGTTATTCTGTTGACTAACCAGTTATCTTCATAAACCATTCAACAAAACTTACCATTAATCTCCTGAAAAGAACAATTACTAACCTTGAATTAACCATAAGAATTTTTGTGAACCAGACTGAAAAGAGTACCTCAAAGGAAACAGCCAGTTATATACCAGACGAAGGGTAATAGAGACCTGAAGGATTTGGATAACTAGGATCCTGTTAGAAGAGATCTCCGGAACTATTTGAAGGAACGCACGCATGCGTTATATCCCAGAAGAAAGGTAATAGAGA